GGTGGCACGGCAACGATATCATCCTCTGGTGACAGAAATGTGTAGTGTGTGCATGAAAAATAAATGCAAAATATTTGGACAATGGACCTTTCTGCTTCCCAGGGTTGTGTGCTGTGGATTGTAATTAGACGTTGAAGGTTTACGCCTGTTCAACGTCTAAGATCGAACTGTTTTCAACATTGAAAAGTAGGACAAGATCGACCTGTTTTCAATGTTGAAAAGTAGGACAAATCTGACGTCTTTTCAATTGTACATGCACCCCATGGAACGAGAGAATAAACTGACCCCGGTCAGATAGAAAGAAGAGGCCGAGGTGAACATAGCGATAAACACTGTTTCAAGATCTATAGCAAGCTTAGAGGCCAACATAGCTCTACTCAAGCGGAGAGGGCAGAGAGAGTGTGTTTCCTAGCAAGCTTAGACGTCAACCTAGCTCTACTCAAGCAGAGAGGGCAGAGAGAGTGTGTTTCTGAGACCCGAGGACAGCGGCGAGGGCAAATGAGCTGTGTTTCTGAGACCTGAGGGCAGCGAGCAGGGCAAAAATGAGCTTGTGTTTCCCGGCACCCGAGTACAGCTGGGAGGAGAACGTGTTTCTGACACCCAAAGACAGGGGAAAGGCCAGGGACAGTGTGTTTCTGAGACCAGAAAAGGACAGTGAGACCAGCAAAGGACAGTTTGTTTCTGAAACCAGAGGGCAGCGAGCAGGGCAAAAAAGTGTTTGTGTTCCCGGGAGCCGAGAACAGCTGGGAGGAGAACGTGTTTCTGACGCCCAAAGACAGGGGGAAAGGCCAGGGACAGTGTGTTTCTGAGACCAGAAAAGGACAGTGAGACCAACAAAGGACAGTGTGTTTCTGAGCCCAGAGGTCAGCGAGCAGGGCAAAAAAGAGATTATGTTTTCAGGGACACGAGTACATCTGGGAGGAGAACGTGTTTCTGACACCCAAAGACAGCGGCGATGGCGAAGGACAGTGTGTTTCTGAGAACAGAGGGCAACGAGCAGGGCTAAAAAGAGCTTGTGTTTCCTAGCACCTGAGTACAGCTGGGAGGAGAACGTGTTTCTGACACCCGAAGACAGGGGGAAAGGCCAGGGACAGTGTGTTTCTGAGCCCAGTGGGCAGCGAGCAGGGCAAAAAAGAGCTTGTGTTTCCCGGCACCCGAGTACAGCTGGAAGGAGAACGTGTTTCTGACACCCAAAGACTGTGGGAAAGGCCAGGGACAGTGTGTTTCTGAGACCAGAAAAGGACAGTGAGACCAACAAAGGACAGTGTGTTTCTGAGCCCAGAGGTCAGCGAGCAGGGCAAAAAAGAGCTTATGTTTCCAGGGACACGAGTACATCTGGGAGGAGAATGTGTTTCTGACACCCAAAGACAGCGGCGATGGCGAAGGACAGTATGTTTCTGAGACCAGAGTGCAGCGAGCAGGGCAAAAAAGAGTTTGTGTTTCCCGGGAGCCGAGGACAGCTGGGAGGGGAACGTGTTTCTGACACCCAAAGACAGGGGAAAGGCCAGGGACAGTGTGTTTCTGAGACCAGAGGTCAGCGAGTAGGGCAAAAAAAGAGCTTGTGTTTCCTGGCACCCGAGTACAGCTGGGAGGAGAACGTGTTTCTGACACCCAAAGACAGGGGGAAAGGCCAGGGACAGTGTGTTTCTGAGACCAGAAAAGGACAGTGAGACCAACAAAGGACAGTGTGTTTCTGAGCCCAGAGGTCAGCGAGCAGGGTAAAAAAAGAGCTTATGTTTCCCGGGACACGAGTACATCTGGGAGGAGAACGTGTTTCTGACACCCAAAGACAGCGGCGATAGCAAAGGACAGTGTGTTTCTGAGACCAGAGGGCAGCGAGCACGGCAAAAAAGAGTTTGTGTTTCCTGGCACCCGAGTACAGCTGGGAGGAGAACGTGTTTCTGACACCCAAAGACAGGGGGAAAGGCCAGGGACAGTGTGTTTCTGAGCCCAGAGGTCAGCGAGCAGGGTAAAAAAAGAGCTTATGTTTCCCGGGACACGAGTACATCTGGGAGGAGAACGTGTTTCTGACACCCAAAGACAGCGGCGATAGCAAAGGACAGTGTGTTTCTGAGACCAGAGGGCAGCGAGCACGGCAAAAAAGAGCTTGTGTTTCCCGGGAGCCGAGTACAGCTGGGGGGGGAACGTGATTCTGACACCCAAAGACAGGGGAAAGGCCAGGGACAGTGTGTTTCTGAGCACAGAGGTCAGCGAGCAGGGTAAAAAAAGAGCTTGTGTTTCCCGGGACCCGAGTACAGCTGGGAGGAGAACGTGTTTCAGAGACCCGAAGACAGCGGGGGCCGCGTTAGGGTTACACAGGTTGACCCGAGGACGGCGGGAGTGAGGGGAATCCTACGCTCGGGTCGCCGGGACCCGACGGTAGTGTGAGGGTTAAGGCGTTGGATTTGAAATCCAATGGGGTTTCCCCGCGCAGGTTCGAACCCTGCTCTCAGCGAATTTTTATCTTGTCCGCAGTCTGGATGATGCCTAGTCTGTTTGTTAAACAAGATTTTTTTTAATGAAGAAAATACTCCGTTAAACAAGCTGTGATGGCCGAGTGGTTAAGGCGTTGGATTTGAAATCCAATGGGGTTTCCCCGCCCAGGTTCGAACCCTGCTCTCAGCGAATTTTTATCTTGACTGCAATTTTAACATCTGGATTTTGCATGGTCAATACAGACTATCTGGACGATGCCTAGTCTGTTTGTAAAACAAGATTTTTTTTTTACGAAGAAAATACTCCTTTAAAGAAGCTGTCATGGCCGAGTGGTTAAGGCGTTTGTTTTGAAATCCAATGGGGTTTCCCCATGCAGGTTCGAACCCTGCTCTCAGCGAATTTTTATCTGTCCGCAATCTGGATGATGCTTAGTCTGTTTGTTAAACAAGATTTTTTTTTATGAAGAAAATACTCCGTTAAACAAGCTGTGATGGCCGAGTGGTTAAGGCGTTGGATTTGAAATCCAATGGGGTTTCCCTGCGCAGGTTCGAACCCTGCTCTCAGCGAATTTTTATTTTGTCCGCAATTTTAAACATCTGGATTAATTTGCATGGTCATACAGACAATCTGGATGATGCCTAGTCTGTTTGTAAAACAAGATTTTTTTTTATGAAGAAAATACTCCGTTAAACAAGCTGTGATGGCCGAGTGGTTAAGGCGTTGGATTCGAAATCCAATGGGGTTTCCCTGCGCAGGTTCGAACCCTGCTCTCAGCGAATTTTATCTTGTCCGCAGTCTGGACGATGCCTAGTCTGTTTGTAAAACAAGATTTTTTTTTTACGAAGAAAATACTCCTTTAAACAAGCTGTGATGGCCGAGTGTTTAAGGCGTTGGATTTGAAATCCAATGGGGTTTCCCCGCGCAGGTTCGAACCCTGCTCTCAGCGAATTTTTATCTTGTCCGCAGTCTGGATGATGCCTAGTCTGTTTGTTAAACAAGATTTTTTTAATGAAGAAAATACTCCGTTAAACAAGCTGTGATGGCCGAGTGGTTAAGGCGTTGGATTTGAAATCCAATGGGGTTTCCCCGCCCAGGTTCGAACCCTGCTCTCAGCGAATTTTTATCTTGACTGCAATTTTAACATCTGGATTTTGCATGGTCAATACAGACTATCTGGACGATGCCTAGTCTGTTTGTAAAACAAGATTTTTTTTTACGAAGAAAATACTCCTTTAAAGAAGCTGTCATGGCCGAGTGGTTAAGGCGTTTGTTTTGAAATCCAATGGGGTTTCCCCATGCAGGTTCGAACCCTGCTCTCAGCGAATTTTTATCTGTCCGCAATCTGGATGATGCTTAGTCTGTTTGTTAAACAAGATTTTTTTTTATGAAGAAAATACTCCGTTAAACAAGCTGTGATGGCCGAGTGGTTAAGGCGTTGGATTTGAAATCCAATGGGGTTTCCCTGCGCAGGTTCGAACCCTGCTCTCAGCGAATTTTATCTTGTCCGCAGTCTGGATGATTTTTTTTTATGAAGAAAATACTCTGTTAAACAAGCTGTGAATTTTTATCTTGTCCGCAATCTGGATGATGCCAAGTCTTTTTGTAAAACAAGATATTTTTTTTAGGAAGAAAATACTCCTTTAAACAAGCTGTGATGGCCGAGTGGTTAAGGCGTTGGATTTGAAATCCAATGGGGTTTCCCCGCGCAGGTTCGAACCCTGCTCTCAGCGAATTAATATTTTGTCCACAATCTGGATGATGCCTAGTCTGATTGTTAAACAAGATTTTTTTTTATGAAGAAAATACTCCGTTAAACAAGCTGTGATGGCCGAGTGGTTAAGGCGTTGGATTTGAAATCCAATGGGGTTTCCCTGCGCAGGTTCGAACCCTGCTCTCAGCGAATTTTATCTTGTCCGCAGTCTGGATGTTGCCTAGTCTGTTTGTAAAACAAGATTATTTTTTTATGAAGAAAATACTGCTTTAAACAAGCTGTGATGGCCGAGTGGTTAAGGCGTTGGATTTGAAATCCAATGGGGTTTCCCCGCGCAGGTTCGAACCCTGCTCTCAGCGAATTAATGTTTTGTCCACAATCTGGATGATGCCTAGTCTGTTTGATAAACAAGATTTTTATTTATGAAGAAAATACTCCGTTAAACAAGCTGTGATGGCCGAGTGGTTAAGGCTTTGAAATCCAATGGGGTTTCCCCGCGCAGGTTCGAACCCTGCTCTCAGCGAATTATTATTTTGTCCGCAATTTTAAACATCTGGATTAATTTGCATGGTCATACAGACAATCTGGATGATGCCTATTCTGTTTGTAAAACAAGATTTTTTTTTAACGAAGAAAATACTCCTTTAAACAAGCTGTGATGGCCGAGTGGTTAAGGCGTTGGATTTGAAATCCAATGGGGTTTCCCCGCGCAGGTTCGAACCCTGCTCTCAGCGAATTATTATTTTGTCCACAATCTGGATGATGCCTAGTCTGTTTGTAAAACAAGATTTTTTTACAAAGAATGATGCCTAGTCTGTTTGTAAAACAAGATTTTTATCACTCCTTTAAACAAGCTGTGATGGCCGAGTGGTTAAGGCGTTGGATTTGAAATCCAATGGGGTTTCATCACTCCTTTAAACAAGCTGTGATGGCCGAGTGGTTAAGGCGTTGGATTTGAAATCCAATGGGGTTTCACTGCGCAGGTTCGAACCCTGCTCTCAGCGAATTTTTATCTTGTCCGCAATCTGGATGATGCCTAGCCTGTTTGTTAAACAAGATTTTTTTTTTTATGAAGAAAATACTCTGTTAAACAAGCTGTGATGGCCGAGTGGTTAAGGCGTTGGATTTGAAATCCAATGGGGTTTCCCCGCGCAGGTTCGAACCCTGCTCTCAGCGAATTTTTATCTTGACTGCAATTTTAACATCTGGATTTTGCATGGTCAATACAGACTATCTGGACGATGCCTAGTCTGTTTGTAAAACAAGATTTTTTTTTTACGAAGAAAATACTCCTTTAAACAAGCTGTGATGGCCGAGTGGTTAAGGCTTTGAAATCCAATGGGGTTTCCCCACGCAGGTTCGAACCCTGCTCTCAGCGAATTTTTATCTTGTCCGCAATCTGGATGATGCCAAGTCTTTTTGTAAAACAAGATATTTTTTTTAGGAAGAAAATACTCCTTTAAACAAGCTGTGATGGCCGAGTGGTTAAGGCGTTGGATTTGAAATCCAATGGGGTTTCCCCGCGCAGGTTCGAACCCTGCTCTCAGCGAATTAATATTTTGTCCACAATCTGGATGATGCCTAGTCTGATTGTTAAACAAGATTTTTTTTTATGAAGAAAATACTCCGTTAAACAAGCTGTGATGGCCGAGTGGTTAAGGCGTTGGATTTGAAATCCAATGGGGTTTCCCTGCGCAGGTTCGAACCCTGCTCTCAGCGAATTTTATCTTGTCCGCAGTCTGGATGTTGCCTAGTCTGTTTGTAAAACAAGATTATTTTTTTATGAAGAAAATACTGCTTTAAACAAGCTGTGATGGCCGAGTGGTTAAGGCGTTGGATTTGAAATCCAATGGGGTTTCCCCGCGCAGGTTCGAACCCTGCTCTCAGCGAATTAATGTTTTGTCCACAATCTGGATGATGCCTAGTCTGTTTGATAAACAAGATTTTTATTTATGAAGAAAATACTCCGTTAAACAAGCTGTGATGGCCGAGTGGTTAAGGCTTTGAAATCCAATGGGGTTTCCCCGCGCAGGTTCGAACCCTGCTCTCAGCGAATTAATATTTTGTCCGCAATTTTAAACATCTGGATTAATTTGCATGGTCATACAGACAATCTGGATGATGCCTATTCTGTTTGTAAAACAAGATTTTTTTTTTAACGAAGAAAATACTCCTTTAAACAAGCTGTGATGGCCGAGTGGTTAAGGCGTTGGATTTGAAATCCAATGGGGTTTCCCCGCGCAGGTTCGAACCCTGCTCTCAGCGAATTAATATTTTGTCCACAATCTGGATGATGCCTAGTCTGTTTGTAAAACAAGATTTTTTTTTTACAAAGAAATCACTCCTTTAAACAAGCTGTGATGGCCGAGTGGTTAAGGCGTTGGATTTGAAATCCAATGGGGTTTCACCGCAGGTTCGCCCTGCTCTCAGCGAATTTTTATCTTGGTTCGAACCCTGCTCTCAGCGAATTTTTATCTTGACTGCAATTTTAACATCTGGATTTTGCATGGTCAATACAGACTATCTGGACGATGCCTAGTCTGTTTGTAAAACAAGATTTTTTTTTACGAAGAAAATACTCCTTTAAACAAGCTGTGATGGCCGAGTGGTTAAGGCTTTGAAATCCAATGGGGTTTCCCCACGCAGGTTCGAACCCTGCTCTCAGCGAATTTTTATCTTGTCCGCAATCTGGATGATGCCAAGTCTTTTTGTAAAACAAGATATTTTTTTAGGAAGAAAATACTCCTTTAAACAAGCTGTGATGGCCGAGTGGTTAAGGCGTTGGATTTGAAATCCAATGGGGTTTCCCCGCGCAGGTTCGAACCCTGCTCTCAGCGAATTAATATTTTGTCCACAATCTGGATGATGCCTAGTCTGATTGTTAAACAAGATTTTTTTATGAAGAAAATACTCCGTTAAACAAGCTGTGATGGCCGAGTGGTTAAGGCGTTGGATTTGAAATCCAATGGGGTTTCCCTGCGCAGGTTCGAACCCTGCTCTCAGCGAATTTTATCTTGTCCGCAGTCTGGATGTTGCCTAGTCTGTTTGTAAAACAAGATTATTTTTTTATGAAGAAAATACTGCTTTAAACAAGCTGTGATGGCCGAGTGGTTAAGGCGTTGGATTTGAAATCCAATGGGGTTTCCCCGCGCAGGTTCGAACCCTGCTCTCAGCGAATTAATGTTTTGTCCACAATCTGGATGATGCCTAGTCTGTTTGATAAACAAGATTTTTATTTATGAAGAAAATACTCCGTTAAACAAGCTGTGATGGCCGAGTGGTTAAGGCTTTGAAATCCAATGGGGTTTCCCCGCGCAGGTTCGAACCCTGCTCTCAGCGAATTAATATTTTGTCCGCAATTTTAAACATCTGGATTAATTTGCATGGTCATACAGACAATCTGGATGATGCCTATTCTGTTTGTAAAACAAGATTTTTTTTTTAACGAAGAAAATACTCCTTTAAACAAGCTGTGATGGCCGAGTGGTTAAGGCGTTGGATTTGAAATCCAATGGGGTTTCCCCGCGCAGGTTCGAACCCTGCTCTCAGCGAATTAATATTTTGTCCACAATCTGGATGATGCCTAGTCTGTTTGTAAAACAAGATTTTTTTTTTACAAAGAAATCACTCCTTTAAACAAGCTGTGATGGCCGAGTGGTTAAGGCGTTGGATTTGAAATCCAATGGGGTTTCACTGCGCAGGTTCGAACCCTGCTCTCAGCGAATTTTTATCTTGTCCGCAATCTGGATGATGCCTAGCCTGTTTGTTAAACAAGATTTTTTTTTATGAAGAAAATACTCTGTTAAACAAGCTGTGATGGCCGAGTGGTTAAGGCGTTGGATTTGAAATCCAATGGGGTTTCCCCGCGCAGGTTCGAACCCTGCTCTCAGCGAATTTTTATCTTGACTGCAATTTTAACATCTGGATTTTGCATGGTCAATACAGACTATCTGGACGATGCCTAGTCTGTTTGTAAAACAAGATTTTTTTTTTACGAAGAAAATACTCCTTTAAACAAGCTGTGATGGCCGAGTGGTTAAGGCTTTGAAATCCAATGGGGTTTCTCCGCGTAGGTTAGAACCCTGCTCTCACCGAATTTTTATCTTGTCCGCAATTTAAACATCTGGATTAATTTGCATGGTCAATACAGACTATTTGGACGATTCCATGTCTCTTTGGGGTTTCCCCGCTCAGGTTCGAACCCTGCTCTCAGCGAATTTTTATCTTGTCCGCAATTTAAACATCTGGATTAATTTGCATGGTCAATACAGACAATCTGGATGATGCCTAGTCTGTTTGTAAAACAAGATTTTTTTTATGAAGAAAATACTCCTTTAAAGAAGCTGTCATGGCCGAGTGGTTAAGGCGTTTGTTTTGAAATCCAATGGGGTTTCCCCACGCAGGTTCGAACCCTGCTCTCAGCGAATTTTTATCTTGTCCGCAATCTGGATGATGCCTAGTCTGTTTGTTAAACAAGATTTTTTTTTATGAAGAAAATACTTCGTTAAACAAGCTGTGATGGCCGAGTGGTTAAGGTGTTGGATTTGAAATCCAATGGGGTTTCCCTGCGCAGGTTGGAACCCTGCTCTCAGCGAATGTTATCTTGTCCGCAGTCTGGATGATGCCTAGTCTGTTTGTAAAACAAGATTTTTTTTTACAAAGAAAACACTCCTTTAAACAAGCTGTGATGGCCGAGTGGTTAAGGCGTTGGATTTGAAATCCAATGGGGTTTCCCCGCGCAGGTTCGAACCCTGCTCTCAGCGAATTTTTATCTTGTCCGCAGTCTGGATGATGCCTAGTCTGTTTGTAAAACAAGATTTTTTTTAATGAAGAAAATACTCAGTTAAACAAGCTGTGATGGCCGAGTGGTTAAGGCGTTGGATTTGAAATCCAATGGGGTTTCCCCGCCCAGGTTCGAACCCTGCTCTCATCGAATTTTTATCTTGACTGCATTTTTAACATCTGTATTTTGCATGGTCAATACAGACTATCTGGACGATGCCTAGTCTGTTTGTAAAACAAGATTTTTTTTTTACGAAGAAAATACTCCTTTAAACAAGCTGTGATGGCCGAGTGGTTAAGGCTTTGAAATCCAACGGGGTTTCTCCACGCAGGTTAGAACCCTGCTCTCACAGAATATTTATCTTGTCCGCAATTTAAACATCTGGATTAATTTGCATGGTCAATACAGACTATTTGGACGATTCCCTGTCTCTTTGGGGTTTCCCCGCGCAGGTTCGAACCCCGCTCTCAGCGAATTTTTATCTTGTCCGCAATTTAAACATCTGGATTAATTTGCATGGTCAATACAGACAATCTGGATGATGCCTAGTCTGTTTGTAAAACAAGATTTTTTTTATGAAGAAAATACTCCGTTAAACAAGCTGTGATGGCCGAGTGGTTAAGGCGTTGGATTTGAAATCCAATGGGGTTTCCCTGCGCAGGTTCGAACCCTGCTCTCAGCGAATTTTATCTTGTCCGCAGTCTGGATGTTGCCTAGTCTGTTTGTAAAACAACATTATTTTTTTATGAAGAAAATACTGCTTTAAACAAGCTGTGATGGCCGAGTGGTTAAGGCTTTGAAATCCAATGGGGTTTCCCCGCGCAGGTTCGAACCCTGCTCTCAGCGAATTTTTATCTTGTCCGCAATTTAAACATCTGGATTAATTTGCATGGCCAATACAGACAATCTGGATGATGCCTAGTCTGTTTGTAAAACAAGATTTTTTTTTATGAAGAAAATACTCCTTTATCCCTCACACTACCCTCGGGTCCCGGCGACCCGAGCGTAGGATTCCCCTCACTCCCGCCGTCCTCGGGTCAACCTGTGTAACCCTAACGCGGCCCCCGCTGTCTTCGGGTCTCTGAAACACGTTCTCCTCCCAGCTGTACTCGGGTCCCGGGAAACACAAGCTCTTTTTTTACCCTGCTCGCTGACCTCTGGGCTCAGAAACACACTGTCCCTGGCCTTTCCCCTGTCTTTGGGTGTCAGAATCACGTTCCCCTCCCAGCTGTACTCGGCTCCCGGGAAACACAAACTCTTTTTTGCCGTGCTCGCTGCCCTCTGGTCTCAGAAACACACTATCCTTCGCTATCGCCGCTGTCTTTGGGTGTCAGAAACACGTTCTCCTCCCAGATGTACTCGTGTCCCGGGAAACATAAGCTCTTTTTTTACCCTGCTCGCTGACCTCTGGGCTCAGAAACACACTGTCCTTTGTTGGTCTCACTGTCCTTTTCTGGTCTCAGAAACACACTGTCCCTGGCCTTTCCCACAGTCTTTGGGTGTCAGAAACACGTTCTCCTCCCAGCTGTACTCGGATGCCAGGAAACACAAGCTCTTTTTTGCCCTGCTCGCTGACCTCTGGGCTCAGAAACACACTGTCCTCTGCCTTTCCCCCTGTCTTCTGGTGTCAGAAACACGTTCTCCTCCCAGATGTACTCGTCTCCCGGGAAACATAAGCTCTTTTTTACCCTGCTCGCTGACCTCTGGGCTCAGAAACACACTGTCCCTGGCCTTTCCCCCTGTCTTTGGGTGTCAGAAACACGTTCTCCTCCCAGATGTACTCGTCTCCCGGGAAACATAAGCTCTTTTTTTACCCTGCTCGCTGACCTCTGGGCTCAGAAACACACTGTCCCTGGCCTTTCCCCCTGTCTTTGGGTGTCAGAAACACGTTCTCCTCCCAGCTGTACTAGGGTGCCGGGAAACACAAGCTCTTTTTGCCCTGCTCGCTGACCTCTGGGCTCAGAAACACACTGTCCCTGGCCTTTCCCCCTGTCTTTGGGTGTCAGAAACACGTTCTCCTACCAGCTGTACTCGGCTGCAAAACTCCCAGGGCTGTGTGAAATGGGATCGCGGGTCACTCGGACCCGCTCAATTCGGGGTGTGTACGCGACGCGAGGACAACGGCTGGGGTTAGATGCCGGGGTTGTGAGTTCGAGCCTCGCCCGGTGCGGTGGTTTTTAACACCCTCGCCGATAAATACTAATAAAGGTAGTAAGAATAGATGGACAACGGTGAAACACGCGCACGTCGTTGTATTTCGGCCTCCTCTTTTTTGCAAAACTCTGGAGGGCTGTGTGAAATGGGATCGCGGGTCACTCGGACCCGCTCAATCCGGGTGTAAACGCGACGCGAGGACAACGGCTGGGGTTAGATGCCGGGGTTGTGAGTTCGAGCCTCGCCCGGTGCGGTGGTTTTTTACACCCTCGCCGATAAATACTAATAAAGGTAGTAAGAATAGATGGACAACGGTGAAACACGCGCACGTTGTTGTATTTCGGCCTCCTCTTTTTGCAAAACTCTTGAGGGCTGTGTGAAATGGGATCGAGGGTCACTCGGACCCGCTCAATCCGGGGT